AAGCAAATGTACATTTTAAGTAAGGAAAAGTTGCCTATAATGTATCATGAGGTGAAAAAACAGACTTCATTTTACAATGAGGAAAAATACGATGTATAATCATCAAAACAAACTTCGGAAATTTAGGAACAGCATATATTTCAGAATCCTATCATTCACACACACACGCATTCGTATATGTATACAGTAGACATGTGTGTAGGTATATATACAAAATAATAACCTTACTGTTAACAGTGCTTATTTAGTGGGGGATGTGATTACCATTTAAATTCTTCACAATGAGCATATATTGTAAGAAAAAATGGTGGAGTTTTTTTTTTAAGATTTTCTTTAAGCTGCCCTCTAGGATTGCTGGTCTTGTTTCCACCACCGGGACCAGTAAGTAACCCTTGCGGCTCCAAGTGTCATCTTGGCCCATCAACAGAGGCATCTCCTGGGAAGTCAGACACCCAGACTCTCAAGAACCACCTTACCCGTGCATTTTAACAAGACATCAGTAGGTGACCGTGCATCTGAGAAGCTCTGAGTGAGAATAGACCCCTTTCCCTCCTGGGGTCTCCAATTCTTCCCGACTCAAAAGGGTCAGTGGCGGAAGGGTCTCAATGTGGTTCCTCCCAGTTGCAATTTTCAAACTCATTTCTGCTGGTGATCTGCCTGAGTCCCTTGCAAAAAGGCACTTGAACAGACCAAACGATGGGTGTGGCCTGGGGCAGGAAGGCACCTGTGATCTGGAGCAGAAGGAAAGGCCCCGGGTCAGTAACAGAGCAGCAGGAGGAATTGCGAGGTGCCTTGTGGGAAGTGCTACCGAGACCCAGGGAAATGCAAGGTGCAGGGTGGCCTCAGGGCGGCAGCAGGCACTCGCTTTGCCACATAGAACGGCTCAGGACCAGCCCAGCTGGGGCGCAGAGCTTGCCTCGGGACGGCAGGTGGCGCTGCGGAGTCGTGGCCCGCTCTGGGCTGGTCGCCAGTTCTCGGCGGGCTGGGGAACACACCTGGGCAGGTAGGAGGGGGCAGAACCTGAGGGGGCTGGGCTCTAGAGGCGGGGCTCAGGCCCTCCCACAAGAGCCCTGGGGCGCGCCAACTGGGGATGCTTGCCTGGTGAGGAGAGCAGAAAAGGAGCGTACCCGGATGGTGCACACGCGAACCCCCATCCTTCGGAGCCGAGAGGTGAGCTAGCCGGGCTGGGTCGGACCGGCCAGGGTTTCAGACACCAGAGTGTCGCGGTACGCGGTGGCCTCCCGGACGCGCGGATCGCCCGGTGGGTGGGTGGCCCGGCCGGCATCACGGCGGCTGCTAGCCGGTGACCAGGATGCAGGGACACTTTCCCGGGGCGATCGATGCGGCTCTGTAGTCTATTCGCGCCGTGGCTCGGGTCACAGCGCTGGGCGATGGTCATTCCTGGGCTACCCTCCCCCGATCCCCCTTCCCCGCCTCGGTGAAGCGCGTGGACTGGACCGTGGCTGCTCCTTTTACGCTCTGGAATGCTTTCTTCCGAGGTGGACTCTTGTTGCAGAAAGAAGCAAACACTTGAAGCCGGCTGGCTGCTCTCTTGAGCGGGCGGACTCGGCCTGAGCTGTCCTGGAGCAGCCCGGGGACAGAGGGGGCTTTGGCCACAGGACAGCGCCCAGTCGCTCCGCGCAAGGGCGGGCAGGACTCGCAGCGGCTCGGGACGGGTCCGAGGCTCAGGGGATCTCCTTGCAGCTCGACAGCAGGGGCGCGCATCAGCTTAGGTCCCTGGTGACTTCCAAGTTCTGCGACCAACCCTGCCCAAGACATGGAGCAAATTTCTCACCCCTCCCCAGGTTCCTTCGCCGTGACATGGGGAATAGGCGAGCTTAGTGGTAGTCCGGGGTGTGCATTCGGGACTTGCTCTCATGAATCAGGACCCTGGAATTTTTTTTTTTGGGGGGGGGTCCTTGCAATCCTTCCTACCTTTGTGACCTAAGGCAGATTATCTTACCTCTCTACGCCTCCGTTTCCTCCTCTGTGAAATGGGGATCTATCATACCTCATATAATTTGTAGTGAGAATTTAATTAGGTAATATGTAAAAAGAACTAAGTAGGGTGCCGGGGACACAGTTAGGGATTGATAAATGACAGTCATTATTTTCTACTGCCACTGTCACTGTCATCTCAGGAGCAGTAGAGCAGGTAGATAAAAGTAGGGACTCCTGGATTCAAATCCCAGCTCAGCCACTTTCTAATGTGACATTGGGCAAGCTACTTAACCTTGGTGTCTCCGTTTCATTTGTATCATGGGGGAAATTCTGATACCTACCGGAGAAGATTATTGTGAAAATTGAATGAGGTAATACCTGTAAAGCACTTTGAAGGGCGTCTGCAGCTAATTCTTCCTCAAAGGTGACACAATTCAGTAGTAGCTCCAAAGTTGTTTTGCCTTGAAATATTTGTGGGAGCATTGGTGGGGCTCCTCTGCTCTGCTGGGGTCAGGGTCAGGCCCAGGGAAGGGACTGATGAACAGAAGGACCCCTGGTATTGTCTTCAGTGGGAATAATAAGAGTTGGGGACAGAAGTTTCCAGAATCACAGCTTCTGGCAAACATTTGCAGAGGAGGAAATTTCTCCTGGGCTGCAGCGTTATTTGGCAGGACATTGAACCTGGACCTCGATTTAAAAAACAATTGTTACCTTCTTTCTTTTTTGGTTTGGGATTGCTGTACAGGAAAAGGTGAGGATGAGTAATATTGAAAATTATAAAATAAGTGATGCAACAAGTCCGGAGGCTGAGGCAGAAGGATCATAGGTTCAAGGCCAGCCTCCCCAACTTCATGGAACCCTGTCTCAAAATAAAATAAAACAAAAAAGGAGGCTGGGGTTGGGGCTCAGTGGTAGAGTGCTTGCCTAGCATATGTGAGGCGCTGGGTTCGATTCTCAGTACCACATTTAAGTAAATAAAATGAAGGTCCATTGACAACTAAAAAACTATTTTAAAAAAATTTTTTAAATTTTATAAAAGGCTAAAACTTTAGCTCAGAAGTAGAAACACTCTTGTGTTCAATTCCCAGTTCTGCAATAAATAAATAATTAATAAACTAAAATAAATTTTATTTCTCTTACCAAGAGGCTAATAGCATAATTTGGGGTATTATAGATGGTTTTCTCCATCCTAGAAAAATCACAGAAGTCTCTGGGGGGTTTGAAACAGCTTGGCTGACTCTGGATATCTTACCTCTACCCCCAACACTCTATTTCTTTTGCATTGTAAACCTTAAAACCCACTAGTGTTGTTAATTTTGAAAGACCCCAGCTTTGGTCCAGCTCCCAATTTTGGACTATATTCCATGGATTCATAATGGAAAAAAAAAGTAATTCCACAAGTTCAGAATCCTGCCTAAAGAACTTAATGGGGGCACACCTAAGTCCTTGTGTTAGACAAGGGACCTCTGAGGACATGGGGCCCACTCTGTATACCTCCAAATCAGAGCATGTCCTCATTTGGCTTTGGTGTTGTAGAACACACAGGGGACAGAGTTTGCATATACCCCTCCCCGAATACTGGTAATTCATGAGTCTTGAGAAATAGTCACCTTTACTATCCAGAGTATTTAGAAACTAAATAACTCAAGATTCTTTCTCTTTGTTTCTACCTTTAGTCTCGAGTACTATTAACCAGCTTCTTGCTTTAATGAGAGGGCATAACAGTCCCTGATACAACACCAAGCCCCTCAAAGATATAGACTATGGTGGTTAAGGCTGCAAGATTCCTGTACAATCTTATATAAGTTGATTCACCTCTCTGAGCTCATCCTCCTCCCCTGTAGCATGGAGATGATAATAGTACACTTACTTTGTGGAATTGTTGAAACATGAGGTGAAATATATATATATATATATATATATATATATATATATATATATATATATATAGAGAGAGAGAGAGAGAGAGAGAGAGAGAGAGAGAGACTATGTGTGTTAGTATACAGACTATAAATTTATGGACTTAAGAGACAATATGAATATATTATAAATGTATATAATCATCTCATATGTATATATTATAAATATGAGATGATTATACACACACATAGTATATGTATATATTATATACACTGCATAGTACATTAGTATATTTATAAAATGAATATCATTTCATACCATAACGTTTCTGTGACTGAGATGATCGCGTCTGTTGATGAATCTAATAATTTGCTTTCCAACACTCTCCCCAGAAGCTGTTATTAAATCAAGGTGCATTCCCCAAATGAATGGTAGCTTTAAATAAATACACACCAAAAAAAAAAAAATGTGGCACAGTGCTCTGCAAATACTAGGTGGCTGTCAGTTGTAGACTATTGTTTTCTAACATCTACATCAGGTACTCTGAAGCGCTAAGAGCTTGTCTGTAAAGAGAAGAAATGAATCAGAAATCATTCCTCTTTCAAGAAAGCAGTAGGGAAATGAGCTGGAAGAAATGGGGCCAGGAACGTGATCCAAGGGGCTGCCAGCAAACTCCCTTGGCTGATTCCATCTGTCAGAAACACCTTGCTGAGCACCCGCTCTGTGCCAGACACGGTCCTGAGCACCAGGGGGCCTATTGGGGTAGGAAGGCTGCCCTCCAGGTGGGCAGGTGAGTGGGAGCGATAAGGCACGTTGCAGTACCCCGACCTGATAAGACAGGAGCTGATTGGGTTGCACTGAGGGCTGCTGCCCCAGAAACCCAGGCGAAAGGTCCTGGGGCTAGTCGGGCCAGTCTCCGCAGGTTCCACCTGGCCCAGCCCCCACAGGGCTAGGCCTGGGGGCTACCTAAGAGGAGGCAGCAGCCTCTCGGCAGCTGTGGTGGCCAAGAACAAATATCCTGGAGAGGGGGCCAAGGCCTCAGGATGGAGACTGTCCAGCCCACGGAGGAAAAGAGGAAGGAGGTCACTGAGGTGCCTCGCCTCCAGGGACCTGCAGCAGGCCAGCTGGCTTGCACGAGCTCACCTGCTCTTCTCTGTCCCCCCCAGTAAGTGGCGCGCCCGCCAAGTCCCATCCTCGCCATGGCTCCCGGAGAGAAGATCAAAGCCAAAATCAAGAAGAACCTGCCCGTGAGAGGCCCTCAGGCACCCACCATCAAGGACCTGATGCGGTGGTACTGCCTCAACACCAACACCCACGGCTGCCGCCGCATCGTGGTGTCCCGCGGCCGCCTCCGCCGCCTCATCTGGATCGGGATCACGCTGATGGCCGTGGCCCTCATTATCTGGCAGTGCGCGCTCCTCGTGTGCTCTTTCTACACTGTCTCCGTCTCCATCAAGGTCCACTTCCAGAAGCTGGATTTCCCCGCCGTCACCATCTGCAACATGAACCCCTACAAGTAAGAGGCGCGAGCAGGGGTCCAGGCACTGGAGCTCATGACCCCCCGCGGGTGCCCAAGCCCCTGCAGCCTGTAGATGTGCGGTTAGGAATTTGAAGTCATCGCCAACATTGGTGAACGGCCCTCTCCAGGCGCTCCAAAGGTGTACCAAGGTTTCAGTCTATCCGCGACTTCTGGGGATGGGCTATCGCAGGGGAGGCAGACAGCGGAGGTTGCAAGGATCAGCTTAGCTTGGAGGCTGGGTCTGGAGTGAACCAGCACCTTCTGCCCTCCCCCTCATAAAGGCTCACACCAAACCCTTAGCTTAGCCACTCTTCCCAACTTTCCAAGTCCACACCCTCCATCTCCACAAAATGTAAGCTCAGGGCTGACTCAGAGACTTCCAGGAGCATCCTGGCTCTGCTAAGCCTCATTTGAGTGAGCCCTGCCCCCCCAGGGCTTTGGGCTGGATGAGCCATTGGTGCTACTCCATTGTCAGCTGCAGGACCTGTTCTAAATGGGTCATCAGAGTCCTTGGGATCGTGCAACACTCATCTGCCAGCCGGGTCAGAATCCAGCAGAATTTTGTCAGGGTAGGCGTCGGGGGTGAAGAGAACAGAAGGGCTGTGGTGTGTGTGGGGGGGTGATCACGCTTACCAAAGCAAGCGGACTTGGCCAGTCATCAACCATCAAAAAAGCTCAAGATCCAGATGGGGTCTAAGACTCATTCTCTACCTCTTAAGTCTCTTTCTTTACTTCCTCCCTCCCTTATCTCTTCCATTTCTCCCTTCTCCTTCCCTCTCTCCCTCCTTGCAGCCATTATTAGTTCCATAATTACTCAGCATCTAAAAATCGTCTAGCCTAGGTTCTGAGGCATAGAACTGAGCAACCTACGCACAGTCTTTGACCCTTGGCTCACGCTCTTGCTACCCTATGCTCACTCATAATCACAACCATTACATTACTTTTATGCATATGTGTGTTTCCTATGTACGTAATAAATCACTGGAACCTTTCCAATGCCCCGAGGACACGGAGACACAGAAAGGCCAGGTGACTTGTCCAAGGTCACACAGCCACTAAGGACCAGGATGGGAAATTTGAACTCAGGTAGTTAAGCTGTGGGACTGGTACTCTGAATCCCTGTGCTGTGTTGCCTATGCACAGAGCAAGGAGGAGAGGAAAGAGAGGGGAGAGTTAAGGGAGAGGCTGGGAATATTTGTCAATGGGAAAAAAAGTTTTAAATGGCGTCATCAGGCTGGCTGAAGACACTTGTCACTATTCCCCTGTGTTCTCAAGGGTTGTCAGGGTAACAGGCATGCCCTCCTCCCTCCCAGCTGTGGTTGGAGGTCACGGGCTGGCAGAGGCAGGGTGAGTGGGGTGGAGATGGAGCCTGACCCCCTGGTGGGCAGTTATTTGTTTGCGCTCACTGTGGCTGGATTAGGGGAGGTACCTGATGGTGACCACTCCAGAAATGCCGGTTGGGGACAAATTCATCAACACACCCCTGAGAGCAAGCAGACAGTGGTGGCAGGGGTGAAGCCACAAGATGTCATGCAAGGGTCACCCATGAGCCTTTCCCTTTTGTGGGAGGCAACAGTGACTCAGGATGGGGCTAATGGGGAAGGCCACAGGAATGGGCAGGGGGGCGGAGGCTGGTGCGTCTTGATGGACCACAGCACGGAGCCGGGATGGCTTTCTGCCGGAGGGGTTTGCCTTCTCTGACGGACACTCCCTTCCCGTCCCTGGCAGGTACAGTGCCGTGCGTGACCTTCTGGCTGACCTGGACAAGGAGACCAGAGAGGCCTTGAAGTCCCTATTTGGCTTTTCAGAGGTGAACTCTCGGAAACGTCGGGAGGCAGAACCGTGGGAGGGCATCCAGCCCAGATTCCTCAACGTGGTCCCGCTGCTGGTCTTCAACGAGGAGGAGAGGGGCAAGGCCAGGGACTTCATCACGGGCCGCAAGCGGAAAGTGAGCGGGAAAATCATTCACAAGGCTTCCAACGTGGTGCATGTCCACGACTCCAAGGAGATGGTGGGGTTCCAACTGGTAAGACTCGCTGGCTCGCAGTTTGGGGGCATGGAAGGCGCTGGGGCTGGTGGGCCCAGGGTCTCTTCTCCTAGGCCGTTTGCTCCTGGAGGGCCCCCTGGAAGAAATATACCCCGTGAGGGTGAGTGGGCTGCCAGCGAGTGAATCTGACTCAGGCAATCCTAGAACATGGGGGGGAATGTCCTAGGAGGTGACCCGTAGCTCATGGAGGCCTCCCAGATAGAGAGAAATGAGAGGTGATTTGGGAATCTAGGTGGGAAGGAAAGATGAGGTCATTTCAGAAACTGCTGCTGAATGAAAGAAGTTATTTCCAGGCTTTTTATTATTGCTTAACACACAGATTCCATCCCGGGACCACCTGGTTGGCCATGCTTGGGTCACCCTGATGTCCTCTTGGCTAATAATGGGAAGGCAGGACATCTTGAAGGATGATCTCACCAGACTGTATCGAAGGGGGAAAAGAAAATTCCTACAAAGCAAAATCAGAGTGCAAACACCCAAAGGGGAAAAAAAAAATAGATAAGATCACTACAAAACACCAGTGTCCCCGTGCTGCTGGTCTTCATGAGGTGCTGTGGCCGGATTGGTCACCTCCCCTTCTGGTCCCATTTGAGAGACTTTTAGGAAGCATTAAGTCACTGAAAATAAATTCCATCTCCATCTCACCCCGTGCTCCATCCACCGCTTGAGGACAGAGATGCTTCTATATTTTATAGCCTGAATTGTTTGATACTTCCTAATCAAGAGGGTCAAATCCTGAAAAAAAAAAATGGCCCCTCCCTCCTCAAAATCACTGAGACTTCTAAGCATTCCTAAGATCATTCATAGGACAGTCACAAGATTCTCTTGCACATTCCAGTCAATTCCTTGATATCTGTCCTTTCCAAAGACTTTCCAAGCCCTGAAGAAAACACCTGGAATGTATCATGACTTCCTTATAAAGTCCTCATTATCGTATCATTCAGACGTGGGTCCTCTCCGCCTCTCTATGCACTTGGTGAGGATGATAGTCCAGTCAATATTTTGCAAGTGACAGAATGGATGCATAAGGCCTCGCCTAAGATCCTGCAGAGAAGTAATATCAGATTCTGGGCTAGAATCCAGGTTTCTAAACTGTTTATGTAGCAGGAAGCAGGATGGGTTGTGTAGGAACTCAGAAGCATTGGAGCCAAACCCCAAATATCCAGGGAACCCCAAAAAAGGTAGTTTGGCTTCTTACCTGTGGCAGACAGAAGTAGGGAGTCGTAAGAGTGGGACTCAGTGTCCTTCTTCACTAACCTCTTTCCTATTCTGAAGGCTTGAGGCTGACTTCTCCCAGACCCAAGAAGTAAAGGGGGGAAGGGTACTGGGGATTAAACTCAGGGGTACTCGACCACTGAGCCACCTCCCCAGCCCTATTTTGTATTTTATTTAGAGACAGGATCTCACTGAGTTGCTTAGCGTCTTGCTGTTGCTGAGGCTGGCTTTGAACCTGCGATCCTCCTGCCTCAGCCTCCTGAGCTGCTGGGATTACAGGCATGCGCCACCCTGCCTGGCAGGAAAACCATTCTTATTCCAGGCTTCTCTCCTGTTCCTCTGATTATCTGACCCGAAGTTTCAATTACTTATCCTGAGGTCCTTCCAAAAGGTAGCAGATCTCCTGGTAACAGCCCGGCTTCTCCTCTTATTTACAGTGTTCCAACGACACCTCGGACTGTGCCACCTACACCTTCAGCTCGGGCATCAACGCCATCCAGGAGTGGTACAAGCTGCATTACATGAACATCATGGCCCAGGTGCCTCTGGAGAAGAAGATCAACATGAGCTACTCTGCAGAGGAGCTGCTGGTCACCTGCTTCTTTGACGGGATGTCCTGCAATGCCAGGTCAGGGTGGGAGGCAGTTCTCCCAGCCTCTGAATACAGGCAGCTCTGAGCCAGGCTCCTTGCACGCACACAGGAGCTGGTTCTAGAATCAGGGAGTTGAGAGTGCATGGCTTGGGCTCACACTAGCTTTAAACTCATGAAATTACTCATGATGACCTGGAGTGGTTGAGAGTGTGCGTGTCTAACTTTGCATGTTACCAGGATGCGGACCAGTGTTTGAGAGTCAACACGCTCTCCTACGGAGGAAGGAAGGGAGACAAGGAGGGAGGGAGGGAATAAAGAAAAGCCTATGTTCACATTTGTGAGCCTTCCAACCTTTCCCCTTGGACGATTACACTCAGATTCCTGGTGGTGACCGGGAGTAGGTGGGACATTCTGAGGGGTCCTGCTTGTCCTGTGGATTTGTCTCATTTTTTTTTTTTTAACACTAAACCTCTGCCACCTGTCTATGTTAGGGGACATATTGGTCCCTGCAAAAAAACAGAGTGATTGGAATGAGAGTTCTCTGAGGATGGGTTCTTAATATCCCATAAGTCCTACGATGGGATTTCATCTCTGGGGAGCATTTCTGAGGATTGGGAATTGGAATGGAAAAAAAAAAGTGCACATGTTGGCTGAGAAATTCAAGAGTGGAGAATTGGCAGCAAACGTGGGGCACAGGGACTGCCACATCAGATCAGAGAAGCTGCAAAAGGGCTAAGGGGGGGCATGGAAACCAGGGTCTAATGAACCTGACTTGAGGGGTTCTCTTTAGCGGAGGAAACTCGGGGGAAGGGGGTCGGGGGCAATCATCCATTGTCGTCAGAGACAGGTGGCCCCATGAACATTGCCCTTCCAGACTTCAGCTGCGAGGCACACGGGGGAGTCCCCAGCCCAGCCCTTTCTGACCCATTTGCTCCGTCTATAGGAACTTCACGCTCTTCCACCATCCCATGTATGGGAATTGCTACACGTTCAACAACAGAGAAAACGAGAGCATCCTCAGCACCTCCATGGGGGGCAGTGAGTACGGTAAGGAGACCCCCAGGCCCTCTGACAGCGAGTGTGGTGGCAGCAGGATAACCCGGGGGTGTGCTGGGGCTTCCAGAAATACAGATCTCTCCACCTGGCCCCAAACCAGACGCTCATTTCCCCGTCCGTCCAGCATCTCCATCGGTGCCCATGTTGCCTACTCTCTTCAATCTGGGGGTCTGTTGTCTTCTTCTTCTTTTTTTTTTTTTTTGACTTCTCTTCTTTACCCTTGAGAGAGGCACAAGGGACACACCGCAGGCTTCCTGCTGCGGAGACGCCTTTCTGGTTTAAGCTTGTGGCTGGGGTGAGTAATGCCGGGCAGGTGGCTTCTGGATGGAGTTAAACCTGGAAGTGCTGAGTAGGAGATTAAGGAGGTAGACACGCCTTTATCTTAGCGAAGATGACAGATTCTGGAGCCAGAACCCAGCTCTGCCTCTCCTTGTGTGACCTTGGGCACGTGACGGCCCTTCATCTGTAAAGTGAGACTGATAATAGTGATCTCCCACGGAGAAATCTGCTGCACGCCCTATGAGGTGCTCAGGCTACCCTCACAAGGTGCTGTAGACCGGGTGGTGTGCACCACAGACATTTACTTCTCACAGTTCTGGAGGTTGGGGATTCCAAGATGATGCAAATCTGGTTTCTGGCAAGACTTTGCTCCTCGGGTTGCAGATGGCTGTCTTCTGTCTGGATCCCCAGTAGCCTCTGTTGCAAGTGGAGGAGTGCTACGGTGTCTCTCCCTTGTCTTAAAAGAACCCCAACCCTCTCAGATTAGAGCCACACCCTTTAGGATGTCATTGGACCTTAATGAAGTCCTGTCTCCAAAGACCCTCACGTTGGGGGTTAGGGCTGAAGACCTCTTGGGGAGGCAGGAGACCATTCAGCCATACACACATCATATGCACAACAAATGCTAGCGGCTGACATTACTTCCTAGTACCAAGACTACAAGACTACTGTCACCTATGCTGCCATTGCTCCTGCCAATACTACAATCTCTACTCCTTTTGTAGAAAAGTTAGGGACCCCGACTCGTTGGCCTGGCTTACCCACAAAAGGAGTTATTGAAGGGTCCTGTGCAACATGATTTCATAAATAATGCGCCCACCAGGAAAGGCAAGACCCTGTCACACTGGAAGTCCACGTTTGGAATCCAGACCTTTGTCATTTATAGTCTGTGTTCTCACCCAGACTGCAGGAAACTCTGGTTCAGAGCACAGTGGGATTCTGTGGATTCTTCCACCGTCTTCAGTGGAAGAAGCTATCTGGGTACTGACCGTGGAGACGTGCAGAGTTCTGGTTCTACTGCACAGGGCTTTGTGACCTCTAGCTAATCACTGTCTCTCTCTCTCTCTCTGGGTTTTCGTTCCTTTGTACATAACAGAAGATGTCAGAATAACTCTTAAAGTTGTCTTCTTTCAGTTCGTGTACACTCTGACGGACTCTGATCATACACTCGTTCATTGACTGGTTTGATATCCGCTCTGCGCACGGGGCTCCTCTAGGTAGCAGAGATGCATCGTCCCCTCTGCCTTCTGAAGCAAGGGACAAGCACATACATAGACATTAACTAGTCACCAGTACTAACGAGTGGAATGCGGAGAAGAAAGCAGAAAGGGCAAGACAGAGGAGCTGGGGTGAGGATGGGGTTTGAGGTGGGAAAGGAGGTTCAGGAAAGCCCTCCCGGAGAGGTCATCCTATTTAAGGATGAGAAGGTCCACGCCAGAGAGAATTCCAGGGTCTAGCAAACACAAAGGCTCTGAGAATCAAATGAATGGGATGTGTTTCTAGAAACAGAAATCAAAACCCGTGTGCTTGGGTGATGGCCTGAGAGTGTCAGTCAGTAGCCATGGCTCTGCATGTCCCTTTAGATGTCCAGCCAAACTTCTCATCTCAAAGGACAGCCATTCCTTCATGCTCGGCAAGAACTTGTGCTGAGCCAGACTTGTGACAGTGACCCTGCATTGGAGCCCCTACGTGGGGCTGAGCCCTGAGGACACAGCGGTGAGCAAGCCAGGCACAGCTCCTGCTCTCACACAGCTTCCGGTCTAGCTTCTGGTCTAGCCTGCCTCCCATCTAGCCTTCCTCTGCCCATCAGTTGCTGGGCCTTGGATTTGAGCCCTACCAAACCACCGAGGGGGTCCGATCCCCGCCCCAGGGAATGCTTTATGGAGTTTTGACCACAGAACCTTATCTTTTCAGGGCTGCAGGTCATCCTGTACATCAACGAAGAAGAGTACAACCCCTTCCTTGTGTCCTCCACGGGCGCTAAGGTGCTCATCCATCGGCAGGATGAGTATCCCTTCATTGAAGACGTGGGAACCGAGATCGAGACCGCCATGTCAACCTCCATTGGGATGCATCTGGTAAGAGACGACTCCGAGTTCCCTGTACTTGGGGAAGAGGACATCTTTTTTCTCAAGGATAACCAACGCGAGGCACGGCTTATGGGAAAAGGGTGCTTACTTCAAAGGGAGCACGGTTCTGTATTTTCTAGTGGTCACCCCGACGGTCATTCTGGTAGATACACAGAGGTTCTCTTTGCATCTTCTCTAGGGATGAACAAGGCAGGATGCCATTTTAAGAATTTAAGGAACCTCCGTTGTTCCCTCCAACCCCCCTCCCCAAAAAGCCCTAGCATTTATGGAACTGTGATGGAAGCAAAGGGTCAGACACTAGTTATATACTTGTCAATTATACACATAGAGCAGATTAACATCCTCCCTTCTAGGATTCTAGAGAACTGTGAGGGCATGGAAACAACTATTTAAAGACCAGTTAAAAGCCACTGGGCTACTCAAATTCTGCTTCAGCCCCTCAGACTCCCATCGATTTAACCTTTACCTAGAATCCCTTCTTTCTCCAAGTCTGTGACCTCTGACCTCACTGAGTGCTGAGAATACTCAATGCAGGGGCACTTAACCACTGAGCCACATCCCCAGCCCTTTATATTTTTTATTTTGAAACAAGGACTTGCAAAGTTGCTTAGCGCCTCTGTAAGTTGCTGAAGTTGCCCTTGAACTTGTGGTCCTCCTGCCTCAGCCTCCTGAGCCACTGGGATTACAGGCACGCACCAGCACACACCCAGCCTATTATTCAACTTTTAATCTTTTCTAATCTGTCCAGAAAAAAAAAAAAACAGCATCCATTTTAATTTTACTTTTCATTTCTTCTTGGTGGTATTTTAACATTTGTGGGAAAGGAAAAAAAATCCCTCAAGCATTTTCTCTGTGGACTCTCCATTCATGCCTTGATTTGTATCTGAACTTAATGCGCCGTATTAAACTTCCTAGCCTTCATCCCTCACAAACATTCCCCCAGAGCAGTGGTTTCCAAACCCAGTTGCTCATGAGGCTCACCTCTCCTAAACCGGAATCTCTGGGAGACAAGCACAAGGATCTATATTGGCTTCAAACTCCAGTAAAAGTGAAGCCAAAGCAATGCACCTTGCTCAGCTGCGGATGGCTTTGGTTTGGGTTCTGAAGCAATATGGCGGGCATTGGGGGCTCCGATAGCCATCCATCACTACCCATTCAACAGTTATTATTTCTGAGTGCCTCCTATGTGCTAGATACTGGGAGACCCTCAGGATGGCTGTCTGGTAGGGCAGATGCTCCCAGAGGCATGTCACTGAGGAACTTTGTTTTAATGCGGGAGAGAAGTTATGTACCAGCTTGGGCTGTGTGGATGCTGATTTCCTAAAGGGAAAAATGTCCTGAGCCCCCCAGCCTGCTCAGACTGGGACTCCAAAAGACTTCTAAAGACAGACCACGGATACCTCTGTTCACTGGGGAGTCAGAAATTCCCAGAAGACAGCAGTGATGTTTTGATGCCTGGTTTCCCATAGTGTCTCATCTGCACTGGGAAGAAGGACCTGGGTGGGTTTTTTGTTTGTTTGTTTGTTTGTTTTTAAGGAGGGAGTAGGTACCAGGGGTTGAACTCAGGGGTACTCAACCACTGAGCCACATCCTATCCTTAGCCTTATTTTATATTTTATATTAGAGACAGGGTCTCACTGAGTTGCTTAGAGCCTTGCTTTTGCTGAGGCTGCCTTTGAATTCATGATCCCCCTGCCTCAGTAGCTGAGGCAGGACCTGGGTTCTGCAGCCCATCCACCCCTTACCCTTCTGCCCTCTCCCTGCCTTCTACCTCTCGCAGCATCTGAGAGGAGAGCTTGCAAAAGTTCAAGAAGAAGGAGCGAATTCTGCCCTCTGACTTTTTGCTCTGAACTTGGGACATCCCTACCCACATTGTTGAGCAAATATCGCCCTCACGAATGTCGAGTACACAGACCCGGGCGAGATTTCTGCCACACCAATTTGGGATGTAGAGAATCAAAGCCACAGAGCAGGGTCAGTCCGCTCTCGATGTGATTCATGAGCATGTAGAACGACGAGGACAACAACAACAAAAGCAGGGATTACTAAGGGGTCAGCAGGGGGTCACTAAGAACAAGTCCAAACAAACCAGACTTCCTTCCGATTTTTTGGTATTGCTTTAACTTTTATTTATTTATTTATTTTTGATAGGCATGTTAAGCTGTTAGGCATAGTCAGCCAGACAGGGTCATAAGTCGGTTAACCTTCCTTATTTCATGGGGCCATGTGTTCAAAGCACTGCATCTTCCAAGATGAACACAGCAAGCTCCTTCCTTCCAAGAGCTTGCATTTCGGAGGAGAAGATAAAAACACGTTTGCAATATAGTTCTTGTCTCTGTGGAAACAAAGACTTTGTACTCAGTTTTTACAACATAGTATATCCTCATTAATATTGGATGGATGGATGGATGGATGGATGGGTGGATGGATGGATGGATGGATGGATGGATGGGTGGATGGATGGATGGATGGGTGGATGGATGGGTGAATGGATGGATGGATGGATGGGTGAATGGATGGATGGATGGATGGGTGGAT